ACTCAATGAAACTATGAGCCATACCACGTAGGGCCATCCAAGTCAGACAGGTCTTGGTGGAGAGTTCTGACAAAATGTGGTCCACTGGAGAAGGGAATGGCAAACCACTTCAGCATTCTTGCCTTGAGAACCCCATGAACAGTAGGAAAAGGTTTGACACTGCCCAATGCCAACTGATTCATTTTGCTCAAATAAACTCTTAAAATTCTTAAAAAATAAAGTAATAAAGCAAACCAGGTCATACACTAACTTTCAAGCAATTCAGACACAGGGTTTTTAAAAATATTTTGAAAAATAATTGTTTTTTTCAAATTTGTCTGTAGCTTCCCAAAATAATTCCTTAAACTAACAACCCTAAACTGAATGATTACTTCTATATTCATTTTAAAAATCACACTTATTCTCATCTATTTCATATAATTAAAATTAATTCTAGTTTCAGACACCAATTTAGATATTCTAATCACCATTGATGCTTGATATGTCATAAATCAAACCTGAAAATTATTTCTTATATCAGGCTAATCCCAAGAAATAATTTTTAGCTTTGGTTTATTTTGCAGATCTGAATTGTTATATACAGAATGGATTAACAACAAAGTCTTACTGTGTAGCAATATTCAACAGCCTGTGATAAACCATAATGGTAAAAGATATGAAAAAGAATTTGTGTGTATATATAGATATATAATTGAGTCACTTTGTTGTATAGCAGTAGTTAGCACAATATTGTAATTCAACTATACTTCAATAAAAATAAATTTTTAAAAAATCTGCAAAATACATAGAGAATTATTTCTTGTTTTGTACATTCTTCAGGGTTTATATAACAAGGAAAAAGTATATAAGGAATAAGCATATAACATGGAAGAGTACATATGGTACTCTTTTTTAAAAAATTTTTAATTGGAGTATAATTGCTTTGCAATATTGCATATGGTACTCTTAATGATTGCTACATGAAAGGCAGATTTCCATAGCCAGAATGAAGAAAAGATTTGTGTTTCTCAGCTTGACATTGAGGACAAAATATTCACATAAACTTGTTAAAAATCTTTTGGCTTCAGTGTGATTAAATAATATGCTTGTATCAATATCTATTCACTTTGCTGTGAACTCTCGGCCTCAACGTACATTATCAGAAGCATGAGACATGTTTTCTTATTTCTCAAAGTAAGAGGTTTTTCTCCTAGTTCTGACTGCCATAACTGTCTCAAAGGGAAAAAAAAAAAAATATGCCCTCAGCCACAAAGATAAATTATAGAAGAACTAAAAAAAAAGTTAGGTTTACTGATTTAAGAGGCACTTGGTGAGCTTTCAGACCTCAATTAAGGCTGTGATTTGAGAAAAAGAAAATGAATTTTCCAAGCAATTAGGTGGTAATAGATCTAATGGCTTTGGGGGGAAAAGAAATGGGTATATTTAATTTTGACAAGTGGCTGCCATGCATGTGTTATATAACCTCTTTTGATAAGTATTTTTGCTCCAAATACCTTTTTTAATTATCTGCAAATGCCTTTTACAGGGAATTATAAAGAGTAACAACCACAAAGAAGACAGGCATTCTGCCCTACTGAGTCAATAGCATTCACTTTTCTAAAAACATCTCATATTAATTTCATAATACTTATTTTAAAAGGTCCAAAAATATGTGCTTACCAATAAACCATATGGTCTCAGAAGGATATTTTACAAGAAAATGTGTCAGCTTTCATAAACTTCCACAGGGGACCCTTTTCCTTTTGAAAGAAAAAAATCATACGTTGAAAACACAGTGGAATTTGAACATGAAAAGACTTTTTAATAGCGTGAGAATGCAATAGGCTCCAACAAAATCAGTGCATTTTATATTGAAGTAAGGTTCTGTGTTCAGCTCATTCGTGGGACAAAAGAACACACTACCGGTTACAGTGATACAGCACAGGTATTCACGTTAATGTAGATTGAAGTTCCTCATTTACTTATTGTTGAAGGACAAGCTAAGATTGAGTCATCCGAAAATAGAACCACATTACTATACCTTATTCCATAGGTAAAAATCTTTTTTTTAAGCTCTTTTGTTCACAGTGTACAATTTTCTTCATTATTTGACCCTACTTTTATCCCTGCCAATTTAGAGTGCCAAAATTTGTCCTACAAAGCCTCACAAGGAAGAAATCCTCCATCCACTAGTTTTGTATGAGCAGGGAATTAATTCTCTGAGCTTTGGCACCTGCCTCTTCCAGACCCCAGAAGCCTGACCTCTCTGACCTACAGAAGAGCAAAATGAGTTGGCTTTAGGGTACAGAAAATATTTCAAGCTAGTCAGCTGAATGAGGTTTCTCTAAAAGAAGGCATACAATTAAAACACATAACAGTTACACCTAAAACTTGGCTGAAGACAAAAGAAGTTTATGTCTACTTTGCTGGGGTTGAAATAATTGTTCACAAAATAAGAATTCTGAGGTCATACCAGCAATTAATGAATGAGTGGTGAGTGGGACAATAGCCAATCCATTGAGTCACTTTAACCACAGTGATAAGGAATATTGGTTACTTCTTTTTAAAATTTTTATTATTATTATTTGACTGTGCTGGGTCTTCACTGTGGTGCACCAGCTTTTCTTATTGCAGCCCACAGGCTCTCTAGAAGAGCTGGGCTCAGTGGTCGCAGGCCACGAGTTTAGTTGCCTCACAACTTATGGGATCTTAGTTCCCCAACCAGGGGTTGAACTCACATCCCCTACACTAGAAGTTGGATTCTTCGCCACTGGATCACCAGGGAAATCCCATGAAAAGTGATTTCTAAAGCCAAATCTTTCAGGAGGTGATCATCTGTTTATTCAGATGACAAAACCAATGGGTCAATTTCACTGCCCATTTGGTCCTTTATGTGATGAAATCTGAGGAATGCTTGCTGTTATCTGAGATGGAAGCATAGTGATATTGGTGATAATTGGTGAAAGCAGAGCCTCTCCTAACCCCAAGAGAGGAAGCAAGGGGACTATAAGACAAGCAGAGGATGCACTCAGCTTAGGAAAAGTAGACAGGACATCAGTGCCACAGAATTAAGCAGGAGAAAGCAGCACAGATCATGCAGCCAAAGTAACATAGGGTGGAGTTAAAACACCAACCCCTAATTAGTCATAACAACAACTGGCATATGGTGAGCACAAATATTTGTCAGGAATTGTGTTTAGCTCAGCAAATATTTTTTAACACTTAAAAGAAATTATTTATTTGGCTGCGCCAGGCCTTAGTTGCATCATGTGGAATCTTTAATCTTCTTTGGGCATGTGGAATCCTTACTTGTGGCATGTGAGATCTAGTTCCCTGACCAGAGATTGAACGTGGGCCCTCTTCATTGGGAGAGCAGAGTCTTAGCCTCTGGCCCACCAGGAAAGTCCCCTATCTCAACAAATCCTGACAATGACCTTTGATAGTGAGCTTCCCAGGTGGCACTAGGGGAAAAGAACCCACCTGCCAATGCAGGAGACATAAGAGACATGAGTTCCATCCCTGGGTCAGGAAGATCCCCTGGAGGAGGGCATGGCAACCCACTCCAGAACTCTTGCCTGGAGAATCCCACGGACAAGAGGAGCCTGGTGGGCTATGGTCCAAACAGTCGAAAAGAGTCAGACACGACTGAGCAACTTATCATGCATGCAATGCATGCCCATGTTAGATAGAGAGGAAGCTGAGACTCAGAAAGCCAGTGGTGGAATCAGGTACCAATCCAGGCAATATAACTTCATGGTCCATGCTTTTGCCAGGACCCCTTAGGAGCACTGGCTGAAGTAAAGAAATAGCAAAAATGAGCATGACACTGAAATGAATCAGTCAAACATCAAGGGAGGGGCAAAAGGAGCCGGTGGACAGTGGTTAAGCTGTGGAGCCCTGCAAAAGGACCGCAGGTAGGTGTGTGATGCTGCTTTGGAAGCCTGTGCTCAGCCTCACCCAGCAGCTTTAGTGAATGAAGTCGCTCGGTCATGTCCGACTCTTTGCGACCCCATGGACTGTAGCCTACCAGGTTCCTCCACCCATGGAATTTTCCAGGCAAGAATACTGGAGTGGGTTGCCATTTCCTTCTTCAGGAGAGCTTCCCGACCCAGGGATTGAACCTGGGTCTCCCACACTGTAGGCAGATGCTTTACCATCTGACCAGGGAAGCTCCAGCTGCTTTAACCACCTATAATACAAGCCACCATCAGACAGGGATAACTGGAAATAGCCGTTTTGGTTAGTATGGATCATTCAAGAGCAAATTCTGCAGGTCAAACAGAACTCTTCACTTAAAAAAAAAATCCAAAATCTTACTTGAAGAATATACCAATATGTGGAATATCAGGCCTTCATCTGAGAAGTTCAAAACATTTTGTAAACACTCACAGTGGCCCTCACAAAAGAATCCTTTTTATTCTGTGCCCTGAAGCTAGGGTTGGAATATTAGAGAATCCAGCACCTTCATACAACTGTGGGATATCCTGCACTTTCACCAAGGCTAGAGAGAAGGCAGTGATGATTTAGAAACTGGAATCTCAGTTTGTTTTGCAGGGATTACACATACTTCTAGAACCTCTGAAGGATGTGTTACTTACTGTGAATCAAAGCATCTGTGGTAGAGTGTACCTAGCAGATTAATCGCATTTCCTGTGTTGATTTGTTAAGCAATTAGAACATGTGCCATATAAAGTCTTACACCCATTATGCCATGCTGGTAAATAGCCAGCTTTAATCTTCAGTATCTTTAAGCGGTTGCCATTGTGTTATATTGTCCTCAGTGGATCCATGCATTTCTACTTATAATTCCTCTATTTCTAGAAGTATGGTTTGTTAAAAAAAAAAAAAAAAATAGCTCTGACCTGTCAAATCTATAATATGGAATTGATTCTCTTTACTAAATATATTTATAGCACCTTATGTTTACAAATGGATCTGTTTAGGTAAGTGTGGCTATTTCTTTTTTTTTTTAAACTGGAGTAGAATTGCTTTACAATGTTATGTTAATTTCTGTTTTACAGCAAAGTGAATCAGAAGTATGACTATTTTCATCTTACTCTGGAAGGCTGAAGACCACATGGCTATAATTTACCCACTAAACCATGATCAAAACAATTAGAAGTCTATTGATATTCAGCACAGTTTTTGGCTCATGTTTTTCTTTCACTGAGGCAAAAAATAAAGAAATATGGACAATTAAGGATTTTAATTTAAATGATTATAGATAGAAAAGCTGAATGACTCAGACTAAATCCTTCCCTAATTCTCATTTTATATCAGTATTAATGTTTCTGGCAAGAATTACTCTTTAAGTAGCCTATGAACTGATATTTCAACTTTTCTTCAGTTATAAGGTTTAGGTAGACATATGCTATAGAACAAGCACTGTAATTAGCTTTAGGGGCCTCTAAGAGCAATCACAAGACAAAAAGTCCAGCCCTCTTCAAGTGACTTCAAGTGTGCTCAGAAAAACACAACATAGACACACAAAATGTCTTGATTAACCAGTACGCCCAAAGATGCGGGGCAGTATTCACATCAAATCCTAATAAATATATCCAACTGCAGAGCTGAGAAAACTTCCTGAGCCACTGTTAACAGCCACTTGGTTTCAAACAATATTGAGCCAAACGAAATTTCAGCATAACAAATGGGTAACATTCTTTAGGCTTTGCTGTGACAATATTTGAAAGCATAAACCAAATGAATACATGCTGAACTATGGTTCTTCAACTGTGATCTCAGACTCGCAACATCAGTACTACCTGGCACTTGGAAGTACATTCTCCGGGCCCTGCCCAGACCTACCAAACCAGAAACTCTGGGGGAAGAACCCTACAATCTGTTTTCAGAACTTTTCCAGGGGATTCTGAAGCACACTAAAGAAAAGTCATCTGTTTCAGGTGGAATGAAATCAGGAATGTTTCTAGAAGGAAGAGAATCTGTAATCAGATTTGACAAGAATTAGAAGGCTTGCCAGAACTACAAGCAAGACCAGAAAAACAAATTGAACATTTACCTTTTCAAAGAAGTGTAGGCTCTGTTTAAACACTAAACCATATTATTCAACCACTTTGGCTGATCTATTTTCCGTTGATGTTGCAACCTCAAAAATACACACTTCCCAGCCAGCCATTTAAAAAAAAAAATTGATCATCACCCCCAAAATATTTGAGAATTTATATGCTATCATTCAAGATGAAAAGTGAAGTATTTCCCTTCACTGATAATTATTATTTCTTTTCTTTGTCCATTTCATAAGCCATATATTTAGCTCAAAGGTGAAATTTGTAGAAAATTTACAAAATATAAAGAGGCTGAGGCTTCTCTAGTGACTCAGTGGTAAAGAATCTGCCTGCCAATGCAGGAGATAGAGGTTCAATCCCTGGTCCAAGGAGATCCCACATGCCGAGGAGCAATTATGCCCAGTGGGCCACAACTACTGAGCCTGCGCTCTAAAGCCTAGGAGCCACAATTACTGAAGCCCACGTGCCTTTTAGAGACTGGGCTTCTCAGTAAGAGATGCCGCCACAATAAGGGAAGTCCACACACAACTAGAGAGTAGCCCCCAATTGCCGCAACCAGAGAAGAGCCCACTGCAGTGAAGACTGCGCACCCCCACCTCTAAATATATATAGTTTTTTTGAAAGAGAGTTTTCCTGTGCCAATATTTTTTTAATATATATATGTGTGTGTATATATACACACACACATATATATGAAGGGGCTGAAATTAATGTGAATATGATGCCACAAAGATTACTAAATTCTAGTCAACTTTTAAGTTCTCATTTTTTGTGTAACAGATTACGTTTCTTAACACAAATGCACTACCTTTTTCATTAGCCTCCATTTCATTACAATTTTGGTGTTCTACCTCCCCCTTGTGGTGAAAATTAGAATTTTACTATTTTTGAAGTCGAAAACAATCCCCCGATAGTCAACAGCAAAGGCTTATTTATACCCAGAATCAAGGCTTCCTTGGTGGCTCAGAGGGTAAAGCCTGCAGTGCAGGAAACCCGGGTTCAATTCCTGGGTCGGGAAGATCCCCTGGAGAAGGAAATAGCAACCCACTCCTGTACCCTTGCCTGGAAAATCCCATGGATGGAGAAGCCAGGTAGGCTACAGTCCATGGGGTCGCAGAGTCGGACATGACTGAGCAACTTCACTTTCCCTTTCATCAAGTTTAATAGAAATTGACAGATTCGTTCCTCTCATTGTTTCTGTATCCTTTTGAAATACCTGATAGTTGGTAGAATTTGTACTTTTCACCTAGATAAAAGTCGTTATCTAGATGCAGACAAAAACAACTGATAGGAGTGGCCAATCAATAAATTTTTTCAAACATTCAATTGTTAGTTTTTTAGAGTGCCTGAAAAAAAGAAATTCAATAGTTCAGAATAATATGATTGTTACTGTTAAAAATGAAGTCACTAAAACTACACAGAGAATGTGTGGTGGACTTCTCTCCATTTATTTTGTAAATACTGTACTAGTCAACAGATAGCTATTGCTGGGGTGGGGGGAAGCCCAGTTTAATCAAAATTTCATCATAAAATCTAAAATTTGCAGCTCTAGAGCTGTGGCAGTTTAAGTGCCACCACAGCAACACATTTCAGCCACCATCAGAATGAACTTGGGCTAAGTTACTGGGGTCATGAGAGTGGTTTCAAGACTGAGAACTTAATAAAAAAGTGAAAGAAAAAAAAAGAGAGAAAGAGAAATGTCAATGTCAACACCTAAGTGTGTTTGCATCTATGATACATCCAGTTTTCAACTCCTATCTTCCTTCGGTAGCTGTATGATAACTTAAGGAACCTTGATTATGTGATCAAATGACGCCACACTACAACCACACAGGGATTCCATGTATGAGATGACCTGGTTCAACCTTAGTCCAAGCAAAAGCTGAGAGAACCAACAATGAGCTCGACTTTCAAGGAATTCTGGTTTCCTCCATCACTGTTAGACAATGACATTTATTAAACTGCTATGTTCAGGATGCTGAGCTAATGAGATACTCAGAAACCTTCTTGTCCTTGAAGGACCAGCTCAAATGCCAGAGTGTGTCTAAAGCCAGACTGAATTAGTTCTTTCTCTTCAATTATATAAGCAATTTACTTTTACAGCTAAGAATGCACTTCACATATCGTTTCAAAACTATTGTGTGCCCATCTCTTTCGTTCATTAGACTCTGAGCTCTCTAAGCAGAGGAACTATAACTTAATCATATAGAATCATTAACATCTAGCATAGTGCCTGGCAAACAGTCAGTTCAGTTCAGTTCAGTCACTCCGTCGTGTCCGACTCTTTGCAACCCCATGGACCGCAGCATGCCAGGCCTCCCTGTCCATCACCAGCTCCCAGAGTTTACTCAAACTCATGTCCATTGAGTCAGTGATGCCATCTAACCATCTCATCCTCTGTCGTCTCCTTCTNGGCAATCTTGATTCCAGCTTGTGCTTCCTCCAGCCCAGCATTTCTTATGATGTACTCTGCATATAAGTTAAATAAGCAGGGTGACAATATACAGCCTTAACATACTACTTTTCCTTTTTGGAACCAGTCTGTTGTTCCATGTCCAGTTCTAACTGTTGCTTCCTAACCTGCATACAGATTTCTCAAGAGGCAGGTTGGGTGGTCTGGTATTCCCATCTCTTTCAGAATTGTCCACAGTTTGTTGTGATCCACACAGTCAAAGGCTTTGGCATAGTCAATAAAGCAGAAACAGATGTTTTTCTGGAACTCTTGCTTTTTTGATGATCCAGCAGATGTTGGCAAATAGTAGGCACTCAATAAATGTTTGCTAAAAGAATTGAATAAGTGAAGGCGGATTATACTTCAACAAGTAAGTTGAAGTATAATCATTGCCCTTGACTAGTTTTTATGGCTAATCTTCATAGGCTTTCTGAATATATTGACAGTATGGTTTATTGTATGATTACAAAAAGTGTGATCTCTCCAGGGTAGGGAGTGGTAAGAAAGGTGTTGTGTTAGCTAAATGCCATTCAAACCAGCTTTTTCAGGTTTTCTTCCACTAGCCCTTCCCTTGAAGCACAGAGCTTGTTTTGCAGCCAAAGTGAGCTGGGAACCCTTTTCTTTCATCTTTCTTTTTCTTTAATTTACTTTTGGCTGGCCTGGGTCTTTGTTGTGGTGCGCAGGTTTCTTATTGTGGTGGCTTCTCTTGTGGAGCACAAGCTCTAGGGTGCACGGGCATCAGTAGTTGAGGCTCACAGGCTCCAGAGCATAATTCAGTAGTTGCGGTGCACACAGATTAGTTTCCTTGCGGCATGTGGGATCTCCCCAGACCAGGGATGGAACCTGTGTCCTTTGTGTTGCAAGGCAGATTCTTAGCCACTGGGCCACCAGGGAAGCCCTAGGCCCCTTTTCTTGATCAGTGTGATTTTCCTGTCTTCACAATAGCTACATGGCCCCCAGCTAAAGGTGCACATGTTCAGAATCAGGAAATGGTCAATAAGGTACATTTCTAAAGATATAAAGAAGACCCCCATTTTCCAATGATATTTTTCCCACTATTATGTTAATTAAATACCACGGAAAGAATTGATTCCATTGTGTTACAAGTCGCTCTACCGTTTAAAAATGCAGTTTCCCCTTGGAAGAGCAGTTCACCCAGTTCTTAGCACCTTGGTATGTGTTGGTGTTTGTTAAGCTACCTTTTGTCTGCTCTAACAGGAACTGAAAAAGAACATGAGGATTCTGGATACTTATTAAGGGAGGTGAAATGCTGAGGGGTGAGAATGGACATAAAAAGTGACAGTGATGAGAGGAAGCCCTACCATTCCAGACCCCTGCGTTCTCGGGGCTTCTCGGGGACCTGTGAAGGCATCCTTTCTGTACACTTCTTGCTAGTACCTAGCCGCCCACAGTTTATCACTATGTGCCTCCCCTCCCTTCAAAGTGACAGCTAATTAATTTGACAAAAATCATTCCTAGGACTACTATGAACTCTCAGAATCTTCTTCCTTCTCTACGTAACATCTGCTAGCCTTCATGATGTGGGCAGGCTGTGACTAAGCCAAAACTAAATGCCATTCCCAGCAAAAGGAGTTGAAAACTCTCATCACCTAGCCCTGGGGAAGAGTAATCTGATTGTCCAACAGCAGAGCAGCCGGCTGCAAGTACACAGACACAAGGAAAGATTCAGAGGGGCAGCTTCAT